CTGACATGAATTCCAAGAAAAATGTGATAATGATTTCGAGGTAATTTAAATATCTAAGGAGATTATAAATTTTTGAACAACATAGGGGAAATGGATGTAATGTCGGCCTAAATGCCCCTAATTTAGGCCCATACATACATTCAGCAATCGAATAAATTTTCAATAGCGACAAAAAATATCCATTAGTACGGTTCCGCGGTGACGCGGCGATGGGCCCAATCTTAGATCCATAGACCAATATTGTAGCCATTTCCCCTACCTAACGGAAATTAATTACGGAATGCTGAGATAGATTCCTGAGGAATAGTAAAACGTAAGATTTTGGAATGGTTCGATTTCGACAATAAAACCACAAAATCTTCCGTTTTTGGCACCGTTTCAAAATTGCATCAAACGCCTATTGAAGGGAATAGATAAATGAATAGATGCATTGGATATTGCTCACGATAGTAGTCACTGGTTCAAATCTCACATCCCGATACAAATTCCTTTAAAAAAACGCAAAACAAAAATCCCGGCATACACGTCCCGAGATGAAAGCTCTACTAATAAACCGTTCTCGGAAAATTTTAACCCGTCTTCACCGGAACACAGAAACCGATCTCTGCAAAATTGAATCCGTATTTACTAGAAAATTTTCGGCAATTTCTCTGGAACCAGTTGACTAAATCAAAAAATAAATAAATTCAATAGTGTTCTATTCAAAACCTGCCATTAGTTCTTGTAACGTCATATTTATTGCAGTGGTTGCCGATAAACCGATATCTCAACTAGTTGACTGATTTCAAAAATATTTAATAATGAGACACGATACCTGTCGTTTATCGCTTGTTGAGTCCAATTCGGTTCAGGGGTTGCTGATATAAAAATCTCGCATAATTTTGTCACACACACATACATACTTTGTCCGATATCGCCGAGTCGATTGATCTAGGATTGAAAGTCAGTTTTCCAAGCGAGGCCTTTGTAAGAAAAGGGAAAACCTGAATAATTGCCATTCACTGAGGAAAATAGACTTAAGAATTTCATAAGGCCGGACTTATGAACAACGCATATGAATTTCATAAGGGTGACTTATGAATGATTTTCGCCATTCACATACGCCATTAACCATTTAATTTTTCCTAGCGTTGAAAGACGATTGGTCAACACACGGATCCCGTAATTGCATCGTCCGTGGTTCGGTTCCCGTTTGCTCAGATTTATTATTTTTTTGCCAACATTATTTTTCATAAAGGCAAATCAATAAACTTCATACTGATTTCATGTGGCTTAAATTCATATGTGTTTCTTATGGAATTCTTACGTTCATTTGGCCCAGTGTAGGTGGGGAGAGATATGATCCTTCTTAGATTTTTGATCTAATTTCCATCGTAATAAGCACAAACCGCAGATTACCTTTCTTTTTCGAACGGATATGAACCCAAAAATTGAGTGATTCTACTATATAGGGGAAATGGATGTAATGTCAATTGGGCCCATAAATAAATTCAGCAATCGACTAAATTGTCAATAGCGACCAAAAGTATCCATTGATAAATAACAGATTTTCAGCGATGGACCCAATCTTAGATCCATAGACCAACATTAGAGCCATTTCCCCCATGGCTTCCAAATTTATTTACGTTTCTGTTAAGTAGTCACAAATTAAAGAGATATTGTTAGAAATCTACACTAAGGCAAATGCACTTAAGAATTTCATAAGGCTCGACTTCTGAACGACACATATGAATTTCTTCATTCCTTTATTTAACGTCGGTCTCTGTTCCGCAATCTAGTGCCAATCACCAACGGATATCGATTGTCATCCATTGACGGCAATCGAATGTGCAGGTAGGCAGCTTCCACACCTGCGTAGGATATCGCATCCATTCAACACACATGGGCCGGGACCAACGGTTTTACTTCCCTTCCGAAGGAAGACGTGACCAGAGATTTTTATGCCTCAGAAAAATCCCACCGACCTCGGCTGGGATTGAACCCAGACCCATTGGGGTGTTAGAAAGCAGTCACGCTTACCACTACACCACCGGCGCCGGCCTCGTATGAATTTCATAAGCATGACTTTTGAATGATTTTCGTCTAACAGGTGGTAGCTCTTACACGCCTTTAACCATTTCATTTTTCCTAGCGTTGAAAGACGAGTGGTAAACACACAGGCTCCGTAATCTCAACGTTCATGGTTCGGTTTCAGTCTGCTCCGTTTTATTTTTTTTTGCCAACATTATTTTTCATAAAGGCAAATCAATAAAATTCATACCGATTTCTTGTGGCTGACATTCATGAGTGGTTCTTATGGAATTCTTACGTTCTTTTGCCTCAGTGTATCTTAATTACTTATTCAATTTGCTAGTTTCCTTTCCGTCCTAACGTTTCATATTGGTTTTCCGTCATTCTACGAATGAAGGCAGAACAAATGGATTTGCTAGGAGTGCTTCCTTTGTTTGGAGAACAATGAGTGTAAAATATTCATACAACGCGCTCGACTATTTGGTAGCTTATGAGTTAACGCATAGAAACAAACGTATTATTGATTTGTGCACGGTGAAATCATTGATATTATAGATGTTTTTTGCGGAACGGAAATGGGCGATTACGATGAAGTAGTGCTCTACCATACTTTTTCAAATTCCGACAAAATAACTCAAGCCTGCATTTAGGGAAGAGAGGTAAAATAATGTTTAATGCAATACGTTTTCACACATGGTTGATTTTGAACATGGAACATTCGGAATATCCCGGTGCAAATAATCGTGTATTTGAATTTTGAAGTAACCGTAGTTTACATCAGATTATGGCCACTTTCCCGGTGGTACCCGCAGCTTGAGGAGTCGCATGATGTGTTTGGCACGTTTCAGCTCATGTCCTGTCTTAAGGCCCATACTCAGCAGAACATGTTCTAACCATGTCTCTGGAACCGATGTATGGTACCTATAGGTGAGGCGTTCTTTAAGTGGGCTGCTTTTTAACTGGGCTGTAGTCCAAAAAGCTGTTATACGTCAAAAATATACGTCACATTTGGTTTCACATTTCGTTTTCATTATTGGTGAGCGGAATACTAAGTGTTGATTGAAATAAATTTTAAATTATTTTCATCTCACACTTATATCGATTCTTGAAAGCGTTTTTAGCGAAAGCGTTAAGCGTTTCTTAACTCACGAGTTTTTGTGATGTGAAAATAACAATACCTCACTTTACACTGTTTCAGTTTAATATACTTCACCTTTTTAAACGTCGATCAAACCATACATTGAAGTTCCCCTCAAGGTTTTTTTTTACCTTGAACAAGTCAACCCAGTTAACTAATGGAATTTTGCTAACTGAGCTGCGCTTTTAGCCCAGTTAACGAAATCACACTAAAGTCAACTCATTCATTCTCACGGTATTCTTATGCATGATTCAACGTGCATAAGAACACCTTGAGAATGACAGTGTCGACTAGTTTCCTTCTGCCTCACCCATAGATACAGCATATGGCTTCGGAACCAGTTGATCGATTCCAAAAATAATCAATAGTGTTCTACGGGACGTTGGTGTTTGTTGCATCAAGTAGAGAAATATTCCTCTAAAAATGTTATACACGCTCCTTCAATTTTACTCAAAAGTGAGTAACTTTTACTCAGTTTCGTATTTGTATGCTAAATGTCAAAAACTGAGTAACATCAATTAAGAAAAATGAGTAACATTAACTGTAATTAAATAAAAATTAAACTTTCCTCACTTATGAGTAAGATCAAATCTCATAAACATCTGAGAACCGTATTTACCCAAGTTAGAACTTTCACGAACAATATCCGTGGAATTTCTGCAATCAGCAGCTCAAAGCATCCGTAGGCAACATTCTTCGTTCCTCCGAAACAGGTTTACTGAATCGGAGTTCCACATACTGTCGTAAGTAATTTTTAATTTTATTTTTCCTACGGGGAAATTTCTATTATTTTTCACGCATGTACCCACTTAACCTTATTTCAGGATCATCTGAATCAATTCTCGGTGCAAATAATTCCGAGGGATTGAGCTTCATATTAACAACAAGAAGGTATATTATTTTGTAGGAAAAGTCGTGAAATAATATTATTCAAACATTCAGCTTCTTCAGTTTTCAGACAATAAAAACCCAGAAATATCCGGGAGTAGCGCTGCTCCCAGAGAGTATTGAGAGTAGCAAAAAAAAAACTTCAACGTTTCCGGATCGGAAATCCTAAAACGATAGCGTTCAAATGATCAACATCGGTAACCGAAAGTTTACGAAAGATTGTCTAAAAGAAGCTATGAACAGTAATGGAACTGATGCTGCCCCAGTAAACTATCACAGATAGTCAAACTTCGATGTAAAAAATTCAATAATTTAATTACGTTAATCTTTATGATTTAAACGTTTTATAACTATAAAATGTTCATGTTTTCGATGATTATCATCTTCATCCTATCAGCATAAAACGATAGGATGATATTCTGAAAGGATAAATAAATACTAAACTGAGTAGCGTATACTCAGTTCTGCTTATTTTATTTATTAATTCAAAAGTGAGTAAACATGAGATTACTCACTTTTAGGGTAGTTCCACTTTTAACGAAAATGTGTCGAATTTTACTCACTTTTGAGTACAATTGAACGAGCGTGTAACTCACAAACATACACACTTGCATACATTTTTCGATCTCGTCAAGCTGAGTCGAATGGTATATGACACACGGATCGTAAGTCGGTTTTCCAAGCAATCGTCATGATACATCAAACCGATGATTTCCAATTATTCTTACAAGGTTCGTTATGCATCTTAGTATATTTTTGATGTCTGATTAATTTTATCTAATACCGTAGAAATAGCGTTTTTCAACCGGTGGGGAATTCACCCAGGGTTGAATGCAACCATACTAGCCTTAGTAAGTGGATCACTGGTCTAAACATTGTAACACTGACTAAATGCATTGCACTGAAAAGGTTACGTTACCATCAACCTACTACGTAAGATATAAATTCAAAACAAAAGTCCTACCTAGCAATATCCGATTCATCGTAGCAGGAACTTCCATTCCCATCACCATCCAGATCTATATCCTCGGAACCATTACTGTTGTAGGACATTCGCGAGTGTGAATCCGAATCTGCATCCACGTTTATCTCCTGTTCATGATCCAGATCCTCCTCCTCGTGAGTAGCGGACGACATTATCGATAGCGGCGGAATTTTGCCAAATTTCCAATTGCTCACGGTAGCCAAGAGTAATTCACCTTCACCGTCGGTTTTCTCCTGATAAACACTTTTCTTATAAGCCAATAACCAGCTAAAAATGGTTAAACGTCGAAACACATCTCCACATAATTCACACCATTAATCTCACAGGTCATCGAACCGTTAAACAACCTAATTAGCTACTTGCACAATGTCAACTCAAACAAACTGTAAATTATTCAACCAACGTGCACACTAAATCCTCTTTCCGCAATCTTCAATCTTTTCCAAAATTTACAATCACTCTTTCAATTAATAGCTCTTCAACTTTTATCATCAAACAACTGCGAATGTGTCTTTTGCATCCAGCGACCGCGAACGAACAGGTAAAAAAGCAACGACAACAGACAGTTAAAACTTTATCACCGTGATTCCCTTTACGCGCTCACGCTGCCATTCGCCCGCAAACAGCGAAAGCAAATCTCCGAAAATGAACGGTTGCGCACAAATGACAATCGAAGCACTAACTGACGAACGGTGATTGTACAACTGTTTTTCGTTGCTGGTTTTCATTAAGTTGCTGCTTCACGCGCCCAACATCTCTGAACATTGCATACTTTAGAGAAAGCCACGCCTTCTGGACGAAACAACGTATGAAAGAAAAGTAAACAAAGCAAAAAGCAGTTGAAGCAACTCTCTGATTGGGCCGCGAGGCGTCACCAACACAATGACATGTAAAGATCATATTGTATGTTTACATGAATATCGTATTCTACACTTACGGGTATTGGTGCTAATTTGGATGCAAATGCTAAACTGTCAGCTATGAACCGGTTGTGGCGATACAGTCTTTTATTTTGTTTTGCTTGTTTGTCTGATATTGTGTGTTGAGTTGCGAGTATTATCTCATTTGAGAGCATGATTTGCTTATAAGCAATTGTGCATGTCCTTTTAGGAACGAATGGTGAAAATGAATACATTTTATTGAGATTCTGACCGAATCGAGGAGGGAGTATTGTGCTGGCAAACTTGGGATGGGAAAATGTTTCTACTCGAGTTGATGGAAGCGTTAGGGATTTGTTTCTTGGTATGTGTGTTTGTGTTTTAGATTACCATGCTTGTTTTCCATGCAGTTGCTGTTTGGTAATTTGAAGATGGAATTTTCATTTAAGATTGATATCAACATTAATTCTGTTATCATTGTGCGATAACAAAATTACTGTATAATAAACATATTATAATACAACTTAGATTATATTTGAATTTTAATTACCGGATTATTATGGATTCAATAAAATTGATTTGGAACTAGAGATCCCTGCTGTTTTTTCGTTCACCCAGTTTAATGGGCGATTTCAAATTCCTGTAAAATCGAAAGAATCGATCCTTTTCATTGGATTTTTTTCTTCTTTCGAAACACCTCCTTGCAACAAATTTAAAGAAAATTATCTAAGATATAAAATTCCATATTTTAGGTGCACTGCTAATTTTCGCGGAATATGTGAAAAAGGCCTTTGTTCCAAATGTAAATAATGACAAAAAATAAAATAAAATGACTGTTTATTAATTAATATTATTCATTTGACTCTTTTGTGGCCTTGATGAACATTTAAATTTATGCACTAGACTAAAAAAAATACATAAAATGCTTTTAAAATTTTGAACGTTACATACAGCTACCCAAGCAATACACTTCCATCATGAAGTTGCTGGAACTTGATTGTAACTGAAATAAACTACATACAAATAACAACAACTATTCAGAGACAAGTGTGCTGCTAGGTTATCGTCTTAAAGCAAGGGGTAAGACAGCTTAACTCTGAGTTGCATTTTTGCAGCGAGTAACTCGTGAGTAACTCAATGTACCTCAAAATTAAATCGAAGTGCATCGATTTGTTGCCTCTTTATCTTTTGGCTTACTCCGTTTACCCCCTTTACATATTAGGCGTCAGTCTTGCTTGTAAACAAAAAAGAATTGTTCAGAACGGCTACTGAAACGATGTGAATTCCAGAATTTGTTTAGAAAACGGCTCCACCGAGGAGAACGAAAAATCTTTGCGAGCAATCACCGGCATTTAGCTGAAGAACGAAACATGCTCCGAATATAATAAACAATAGTTAAAAGAATAACAAATAAAACAACAAAACAATTTTTATCCTTCTGGATGAAATATCTTCTTTAAAGTAGTTACGTTAATCTTCAACAAACACTTCCGTCGACGGCTGCAGAAGAATCTAGGTGGTGTATCGCAGAAAGCGGACCACATCACGATCATTCAGAAAGCACAGCAGAAGCACTAGAAGTGGTAGGATGTCCGGTCGCAACAGAACGGCGCCATGGGAATCTAGTGGTTAGTTCGTAGTTTCATCTAGCGGCAGATTGTTGAGCATTGGGAATGGGATCGCTTCGGCGAGTATAAGAGGACATGCAGGGTACGTATAATTTGCCGGATCTGGAGTATTTGGTCAGGCGGATCGAGTTCTTCTACCAAATGTTTCCTTTTTGTTTTTGTTTTGCTTGACAGCAGCTTTTCGGCTTCGCACCTTCATATGTTGCTGTGATGCGAAAAGTGAGAAAGCAAATGACAGTGATCTTGCTCACTGAGCAATGTGCGTTACTCAAGTGCCTCAAAAGCAACTCTGAAATTGCTCATGATTAGGAGCTGTCTTACCCCTTGTCTTAAAGAGAGTAGTTGTTTAAAGTTTGTTTTTTTTTTGCTTTTTGGGCGGGGGGTGGTGCCATCTACCCACCGCTATTTCGCAACAGTCTGTCAACAATTGGTTAAATTATAAGTATCAAGTTTGTGGTTGGCCCTAATCACATACAAAACATCAGCTCAATTGGTTGAAAGAAAGCTGAGAAATAGCGGTAGGTAGAAGGCACCACCCGTCGCCCAAATCGGGGATTCCTGTATTATTTCATTACAGCATCTTACAGCAAAAGCAAAAAGCAATTACGGGAACAAACCTATTGCTAGTTTTGAGTGGGAATGAAGTGCGATTATACCATAGAGCTAACTCTAAGACAAGAAGGTCTCGTAGAAACGTGCTCAACTTTTTAACTTTGCTCTGGTACTATCTTCGGTCCCACAATTATCTAACTAATCTTCGGTAGGCCAATTTAAAATCATTTGTGGGGTGACCCCGGCGTAGTGGTTAGCATCCATACCACTCACGCCAAAGTCACGAGTTCAAATCTCACCCCCGGACAAGTCACGAATGACCCAAGAGCGTTAAAGTGACTATAAAAAAATGCGGCAAATACAACGCAGTAGGCCTGAGCGTATTGATGTTTATATCATATCTCAGATATGCTGTAAACATCAATTCAAGACCAACAATTGAAATGGCCTTATCTCCATTTTGTAAACAAACCTTGTCTCGAATTGAATTGATGTTTACAGCATATCTGAGATATGATATAAACATCAATACGGCCAGGCCTACTGCGTTGTATTTGCCGCAAAGATGATTCTTGGAAATGAATGGGAACATTTCTTGAATCTACAGGGGTGGAAGGATGCGTGGACATACCGTACCAAACGCTCCGAGTTACTATGTGTAGTTGTCTGTTATGTGTAAATATTTGTACAATATTGAAGAATCATAAAATAATGCAATCTAGGGGTGCGACACATCTGAATCTAAAGTTTAGATGGTCGAAAAATCTCACGCTAACAAATCAATCTAAGAAAAATCTTTTTTTCATCGCTTGCATCTGAATTCATCTACTCGCATCGCCCCCCTCGAATGCAATGGAAGGATCTTACGGAATTTTTTCCTATGTTGGTAATGATTCTTTGCGCTTAAAAGTTTCGTTGGATGCATCCACTCCTTGCTTATCATGGGGTTTGGGATGCAGTTCCTCGTCGTTGCTCGTGGTTATGTTTATTGATGTGATGGAGATCATTTCTTTCACTAGAAACTACTACTCCTGGCTGATCCGCCAGCCTTGCATCGAGCTGGAACCGAAAGCAAGCAAATCAATTGCCTCCTCGCTCGAATCTTTCGTTGTTAGTGGTTCCGATAGATACGCGCCCATTTTGGCTTGCAGGCAGCAGCATTTTGCAAGAGAAAATTTGCACGTTCGATTTTAACTTACTTCCACTGGATATCACCGTTACCTCCTGGACATATCTTGTAACTTGTAACACTTGTAATGCACTTGTAACTAAACCCAAATGGACACGATTCAACAGCGTACATTAGAAAATTCATCGGAGATCTGCTTTTTCGCAACGTTTCGCGGCGGCGGCAAAGTAAGAAAAAACCCGTTTTGTCCACTCGCGGTAATCTTAAAAACCCTTTCGATCTTTTTTTAAATAACCAAACACTGCATTAATAACCACACGCGAAATTATTGAAAAAAGTTTTCAGGTGTCCAAAATGCACCAGCTAAAGGACTTATTGCACTAAATTTTCAATAAACATCTCGGAAAATAAAGCAGCAGCAAATTCAAAACACGTCAGTTTCAATGCACGGCCTACCTCGATCTTTAAATTCAATGATGATAAGCTCTTAGGCTAAAAATGCAATGAAATGTAATAGCAAATGAAACACTTTCATCAAAGAAAATAAAATTTAATTTTACTACTACTACCTTGAGTAAATTGGGAACACTTGGGCCCTCCCTACATGACTTGAATTTAAGCATGTTTTGTCAAATTGTAAAAAATAAAATTACGGCTCCGAAGATCGAGACCGAAACAAAAGAATATTATTACCTTTGTCACACCACAGTTACATTTTAGGGGGGATAATAAAATATAAATTTAAACATTAACTTGAAATTAACTATTTTACATTGTTATTAGCATGGAATCCGATTGCATGCTTTTCAATTGCATGCGAGAATTCCGTTACCAAAATATTTTTCAAAATTACAAATTATTAAAATTCAAACTAATTGATCTTTGGAAATTTTGAAAATTCGTAGACTTTTTCAAACTTGTGAATTCTCTAAACACAGATAGTTGTTTCAACTGCAAGATTTCAAATGTTCTCAATATCCCAGGGGTTTGAAAATATTCTGAGGATCTGTCGTGTTCTTTCATCGTCACTACCATTCCCCGTCTTTTACCTATCCATGACTATGGAGGCAGCCCCATACAAACTTTAAAAAAAATCATGTCCCATGGCACAGAACAGAAGGGGAAGTGCAACAAATCGGTGAATCCAAAAGTGGTACGTTTTTCTGCTCAACCAGCGATGCGTTGTGGTAGCGTTTCACACGGGCTTTCTATCCACACGAACACTATCATATCATGCTGCCTATCTTAGCTACAGACAGAAGATGCCTTCTACCGCTAGGTGCGCTAAATAGTGTTCTCCAATGAAAAGTGGAGCCACTTTCTGATCCGAAGTTCCCCTTCTGATACGATACTAGGTGATACGATGTCATCTCTTCTTTTGGATTTGTTTCATCCCTACTGGGACTTTACGCCGGCTCGAAACTTGGTGTTCCTTTTTGCACTTCCACAACTGTTCATTGAGAGTTTTCGAAGCCTGTGTCATTTTTGCATTAGTATTAT